GCGCAACCTGCTAACTAATTAACTCATGGCAAAAAACTAGCACCAGGTAATATCACCACCACATGCTGACTGGTAGGTGGTACTGGCAAGTGTGGCACATAAGTTACATGTAACACAACTGACAGCTACAAGAATGCCATAGAATTATACGATTTAAGGAGCATAAACCTTTCTTTCAACCAATATTGTAGCTTTTTTGAAATTTCACTCCGTGACAGTTGATAGGCCTCATTAGCGTCCACGGCATGTATAAGATTCTACTAGCAAACCCGTGCCAAGTAAAATTCTTTCTAAGACAGTTATACAAATGCATGTTTAACCCTCCTCTTGAGCGGTCAAACAGGGTTATCCGACACTCTCTTCGGCATGTCAGCGGACAAGTTACATTTCATCTCGGTCCTTTCTAATAAAGCCATAAAAATTGATACGGTCACGCTGGAAACAAAAAAGTTTTTCAATCGCTCCGTTCAGGCACATGTCCTCAGAAAATATGTCTAAAATCTGCCCCGGTTGCACCCATTGCCTTTGACCTGTGACCTCCAAATTTCGGCGACCAGTGATGGGCTTTTCCTACCATGATGCATACGACCGTCACTTATCACGCACCTAGGTGAGCCATTTAAAAAATTTGTGCCCGCCAATCTGCCGCATTTGACCTCCCTATTACCTTAAGTTAAGGGAAGGCGAATGTATTCCCCTTCTTTTACACCTCTGGACTTTGACCTTTGACCCCCAGCTTGCGAGCATCTCAAACTCGTTTGTTCGGATTACCCCACCCCCCACGGTCCCGACTTTCGAATCCGTACGTCGAGCCGTTTTAGATTTTGTGCCCATTGTTGACGGATGCACGGGCGGCGGAAACCACATATTACCGCGATCGCAGCCCCTCTCACACTACCCCACAGCTCGTCAACCACCTATAACCGCATCACAGCTCAACAGTACCCCACACTCCTCAACCACAATTCACCGCATCGCAGCCACTCGCCACACTGCCACCCACACTCGCTCAGCAACATATTACCGCATCGCCGGCACCCTCCCAACTACTCGCCACACTCCTAGGCCACATATTACACAGTACAGCCCTCTGCTCATCACTACCCACTGATCCCACCCATATTTGTTGAGCGCGTATCGCGCAGGCGCCTCTCCACTACCCACACTCATCAAGCACCAGAGACTTGAACTCGCGATGCAGCGACTGGTCCCTAACCCCAAATGACCTCGCCAGCTCCTCTCGACCATAGGTACTCGGATTCGCAGCTGACCTCCCAACGCACCTCCAACACATACGAATTCTGACACACAACATCATATACAAATCTGCACAAGAGCATCATGCTTGGCACTAACTCGCCACAAATAGTGAACAGCACGTATGGTATCTCGGCATTCAATCGCACAGCAAGCCGCCTACACACCTCTTCACACACTAATCCCCTAGCACACTGCGCGCTCAACCACGAATGGACAAAATGTTACCACATCTCAGCCATCTCTTAGCCAGACCACGTACCCAACTCTCACACTCGACCATCTATAACGAGCTATTATTCGACACTGGCAGGCAGCACGGCTACTCACCCTTTGTTACACGGGCCCACATGTCTGCCCAATCGCGACTTGAACTCTACCAGAATCACAGAGCACTCCATCACCACACTATCCACTCACACGCGTGCCTCAGAGCTCATCACAGGTATATGACGCGGCGAGGAGACTCTGCAGTCGCGCCACCATACGAGTCACAGGATTTAGCACGACACCATCGGCACATCCAATACCAACATTGATGTAACGTCGGGCCAATGGCGCGACACTCGCCACCCTTCATTGTCCCGGCAGCATACGCACACATCCGTCAACCTAGCTCAACATAGAGAGACTCTCTCAACGCGACCTAGTCGTGCAGAAAAGGTGGTCGAGAGATCTAGTAACGAAGAGAAGGACTCGCCGCTACTAACGATCGAAGCATAGAATCGCTCATATGCAGAGTCATGATCGCTTCAACCAAGTCACTGTTTAGAGCCGAGAGATGTCTGCGTGGGCACGAAGTGACAGCCAGTGTGACCAACACGTCCAGAAGAGGCACTCACTACCCCACACTCGGCATTCAGACTCATGCTAATCAAGTAAAGCCCTGTGACCGTTGATACGCCAGATAGATGACGCACGGCGAGTGGCTCACTCTTGAACGTACCTGGTCGACAAAAAGATTCTCTAACACAATGAGAATGTGATCTCGAGCCACTTCGATCACTAAGAAGGGTCGCTGCTACTTACACTCTCGTGACTCCAGAGCGAGGGTTATCATGGAAAGGTCGCACTCGGGACGGCATGTGCTCACACACAATTACGTTTCCGACACTGCACTTGGAGGCAACACGCATTCTAGTTCGTCACGATGTGCACTACTACGCGTCGCACAACTCACGTTCTAGAGACAAAAGGATATGTACCGCATCACAGCCCTCTCACCAGCACTAGCCACACACGGAGTGCGCACTCCAACTCACCATAGTTACGCGAGCATACACAGGGCTCTCGCAATACATTCGACGCCATAAGCACATCTCTGCAGCAACGCGCGCAGAACGCATCATGTATCACTCAAAGCGCGCAGGTCGAGATTGATAGCATGACTAGATACTTGTAAAAAGTGGTGTAGGAGCGACTATTACACTACAGCCCCTCCCAGCAATACCCATCACTCATCAACCACATATTATTCCGGCATCACTGCCCCGTTCCCACACTACCCCTAGAGCACGTACTGCGACACGCGACCCGCGTACCCTATCCGCCTCTCGGACTCCACAATCTGCAGCCGGCCTGCCATCCCGTTACCCGCACTATCAGCTACTCGCTCTCACACCCCACATGAATTAGCCGCATCGGCGCGTGTCGCTAGGCCCACATTCCCCGTGGCCCACAACTGACGCCGACACTGCGAAGCGTCAGCATCGCGACTATTACCGCATTCGCGCGCCCGCTGCGCTCCTACGACGGAAACCCACGCACACTCGACGCCTCCAACGGCAACATAGTCTACCGCAATGCCAGCCGCACCGCCTCTAGGAGAACCCGCCAACACTCCTCAACGAACACTGATTCATATATCGCGCACTGCCAACTTGCTCC